GGAAAGTGACCTGAGATGACATGATGTGAATTGGAGCTATAGAAATAGACTGAATAGAATTGAAAGCCAGACCTTGCATATCGGTGCTAATATTGGTTCATTTTGTTGGTGTTAGAGATGTTTATGTGTGGGAAGGCCTGCCATGCAGCCTGCAGCAGAGATCAAACACTAAGCGACATCCTCCATGAGCAAAGCTGTTCAGTCAGCTGTGCGTATTATTAGCTCATCCGGGGATCTGTTTCCATTCTTCCCTGACTGTTATCAAGTCAGCAGCTCATCTGATCAACCTGCTCTAAGACCTTTCCGGAGGGAAGACAGGCGGATGGACAGCAGGGGAAGTTTAGGAGCTTTGTTTTACTTGCTATTGTTAAATGTTCCTCCATGTGTGCTGCAGAGCCGTTATGTGGAGCAGCGCTGTGTGACTGCCCCGTTCCTAACCCTGAGATGAGCTTCTACCTGTGGACAGAGGATCTGGATATCTGTGAGTCACCCACGTTCAATGACGGATGTTTGCTTTGGATTGATTTTGGTTCATCAAGGCTTCTTGGCCATCAGCTTCCCTCCCCTGATAAACCTGTTTAACTAACTTTAAATGGTTCCACATGTTTAAATCCTCACCTTTCCTTTAATCCAAACTGCTGGTTGATGGAGGCAGAATAAAGCTGGTGGAACAACTGGAGACGAACCAGTATGAAATTCTGACCTTAAAGCCAAAATATCTCCAGATCACTGATATGATTACAGCTCGAAGAAAATGAAAAGATAAATGAAATACTGTCATCTAAATACATTGGCGTTTCTCAGTTCACTAGATAATGAGAAGAACCCAGGAAAGTCTGGACTCTGGGAGAACCGGAGCAGAATAAATCTGGGTCAATTGGAACATCTGATGACATCACCACATTCAAAGCTAGTCTGGAGCTGCATTTCACCTCCTGTTATTAATAGAATATAGATAATAAGAAATTATGACTTTTTTCATTTAGTGGAGGAATAATGATGAACACAGTCAGATTTTGACATTTTGACGAATAAAACAAAAAAAATTGCTGTCAGAACCAGCGGTCCTTCACACACGACTATGCAGAGAGAGGGCTGCTACAGACAGGCTAACGTTAGCCTTGGCTGCTGGAGACGGGCTGACGTTAGCCCCGGGTGCTGCAGACTGGCTAACGTTAGCCATGGCCGCTGCAGACTGGCTAACGTTAGCCATGGCCGCTGCAGACTGGCTAACGTTAGCCATGGCCGCTGC